ACCGAGCTGGCTAAATACGGCACGGTGAATCGATTTCATGTGTTTTCGCCAAACGAGATATGTGTAATTGATGTCGGTAATCACTGATTTTGGTATCTACTGTATAACGTTGTTTAGGCCGCATATCTATTCGGATTCCAGACATTTAAAATCAAAGAGAAACTGACAGGAGTTCCGAAAGGTTCTACCATATTGTGATTGTTCTTCCCCCCTCATTCCGTAAAAATCCCCCCCGGAAATGTTAACAGACAGACACAAATCGAGATTTTACCATTGAGCTCTATAAGACCTGGAGGGGCAAAGGGGCCTGGGCCTCGTGGTCAAAAACATGGCGGTAATGGCGGATTTTGGTGGTCAAAACTTCCACTTTAAAAATTTTTTTCAATATTCACTCCCTCCTGATTTCTAATACTGTTTATGTTAAACGAAAACAAGTGAGAAAAAAAAACAATTACGATACCGACAGCATATCATGTGAAAATAATGCTTCAGCATTGCGTGAAAAACACAGTACACACACACATCAAAATAAAGAAAATCGACGGTAGAGAAACGAATATTTTGGCTGTAACATTTAAGTTATTTTATGACATTTTAACCTTTTAAAAGTGAAAATCAAACGGCAATCTTTACTAGACCTGTCAATCTCGTCAAACTTATACATTATTTCATGCTTTTGTGTGTTTGACTGTTTGTAAACAGTTTGGTGCACCTATTTTTCTTGCTTCAAATGGATAAATCTGTGTAAAAATGCTCCTAAGGAAGCGAGAAAATGTTTGCTTCAGCCTACGACATAAGTCAACTGAAAATTTACCATGGATAAGTATCATAAGTGTATTGTCATCACCTGATAATCTACTGAAAACTCATAAAGAAAGTATGTTGAACTAGAACAGCTACAAATATGAGAAAAAAATTCAAAACACCATGACACTGTTGCTTGGTAATTTGTATTTTATAAACAGCTTGGCAGAATCTTGGATCTATTACTGAACAGAACTACATTAATTTTCCATTGAAATTACAAACTTGGAAACTAAAGTGCATTGGTTTCTCTGACAAAAACACTGTCTATTGCTGCATGAAGGCAAAATAGTTATTTGACAGTGTAGCTGAAGAAATTTATCAAGTTCTATAGATATTATTGTGCATTACTTACAGTTTTTTGGAATTGTGTAATATATGTCATGAACAAGATATAATTTTTCAAAAATGCTAACCCCTTCGAGCACTACTACTCTTCTGTTTTGCTTAAACAACTTACAGCTACCAATACTAATTATTTATATGTACAAACTAACATTTGGGAATTAAATGATAAACAACTTGTTAAATCTTTGTATTTTACATCAAGCCTTTGAATTAGTTCCTTTTATCTCTTGGTAAAAAATATTAATGAAAGACTTACAAATCAAGTTTCTGAAAATAGTATTTTGTACAAAGAAACTAAATAATTGGAAAGGTCACATGTTGAAGACAGACTTTGCTTCTTTGACTAGGTTGCTTGACCATGAGCAAATTTAAATTTGTTTACAATTTGTTCAAAGAATTCTTTTATTGATTTCTACTAATTCTTCATAAGACACAAAGAATTTCTTTTCTATTTTCTTCTTCACATTCAACTTCTTTAAACCAATGCATCTGATGTGAATTTGTGGATCACCTGGAATCATACCAAGTATGGATTTAACGAGATGAGATAATAATATGTTTAATTTTTCATGCATATTAATGATATAATCATAAGCTATTGTTGAACAAAAATTTCAAGGTAGAAACAAATCTTAGCACATTGTTCAACACACTACTTTTATCTTGGTTTTGAAGTAGTAACCTGTTTACTATAACAATAAATACTTCATTTACAGAAACGCTAAGTAGTACTTTAAAATTGTTTGCATAAATCCAACTTTCCAATCCCATTATAATTGTCTACACTATACAGTCAGTCAAATTGAGCAGGCAAACAGTTTAATAGTTATTTTTATTATACAACATATACCATAGTTCTCATTAATTTTGCATGGCACTGCATTCAATTTCAACACAACTCTGTTGTAAACTTTCCCTTCATCTTTTCAAAAAAAAACATGAACAAATTATGCCCCATTTTGGGAGGTAAACTCAATTCAAATCAGGAGAGTTTAGCTTGATGCCTTGATCATGATACAAGATGGATGCAAAACTCGATAAAATTGACAGCTTCGCCACGTCTGGCGAGCGATTATGAAGAACAAACAAGACTGGACCAAAATAACTTTAAATTAAAACTTAGTAGTAGAAACACTCTTCAAGTATCGTGTTAAAAACAAAATAGTAAAACTAATACTGTGCTACTTACCGGAGTCAAGAATGTTCCTTTCTGTCGCTATTTCAGCATCCCCAAACCACAGAAGTTGGCAGTTTAATAAATAAAGTTTTAAAAAGTGTTTATGTTAGGAAAATAAATAGTTTTGATGTTTTCTATACTCGCAATCGTGGTGGTCAAACAGTGGGCGACAAAATTTCATGAGCCCGCGTCTCGCCGACTTTGACCACCAAAATGCCATGTTTTGACCACGTTGCGCTAGTTGACGTTTCCCCTCCAGTTATTATAGAACTCAATGGATTTTACCCATTGAGTTCTATAAGACCTGGAGGGGAAACGTCAACAAAATTAGTATAAATTATTAGCGCGCGGCCGCGTGGTCAAAAACATGGCGGATTTTGGTTGTCAAAGTCAGCGGAAAGACGCGGGCTCATAAAATGAAATTTTTCGCCCACCCGGATTTGACAACCACAATTGCGATTATATAAAATATCAATGCCAAGCACAAAAACTTTTAGAAATTTTATCTTTAAAACATGCTGCAAACTTGTTTGGTATACGGATGCTGAAGTAATGCCAGAAAAGGAAACATTTCATGACACCGGTAAGCAACGTAAGATTGTTTACTATTTAAAGTGTTCAGTGTTTTGTTTTAAGTCAATACTTGAAGTGTGATGGCATATATTTTGTGAATGTTTTTACTCCTAAGTTATAATTTAAGTTATGTTTATCCAGTCTTATTTGTTCTTTACTTAATCGATTGCTAGACGAGGCAAAGCAACCAGTTCTTATCGAGATATGCATATCTTAAAACTCCTTGTTTCAACTGAGTTGAAATGGAGGATTTTTTCATGATATTTTTCTGAAAATATGAAGCAAATATTAAGGACAGAGCTGTATTGAAATCAAATGCAGTGCAGGATTAATTAATGAGCTCTTTGGTACATGTCGTACAATAAAAATTACCTGTATTAAACAGCTAGCCTGGACAATTTGACAGATTTGGACAATCATGATGATGGTGTGTAAAGGTTTGCTTTATGCTAAAAGTTTTATAAATGCCATCTGGTGTTTCTGTAAATGAATTGTTTGTTACACAGTGTAGTAAACAGGTTAGTACATCAAAATCAAGATAAAAACTACTTTGTTCAATAATGTGCCAAATTTTGCTCCTACCTTGAAATATTTGCTCAAGAAAAGCTTATCATGACATGCATGAAACATTAAATACAGTACTGCATCATCTGACAAAATCCATACATTTTTCAATTCCAGGTGATTAAAATTCACATAAGATGCATTGGTTGCAATGAAGTTGAATGTGGAAGAAGCAAAATTGATGGCAAAGAACTTTTTATGTCTTTTGAAGAATTACGATATCATTTAAAAGAATAAGAGTAGCAATCTAGTAAAAGAAGCCACATCTGCCTTCAACATGAGACTTTTCCAATTATGTATAGTTACTTTGTACAAAATACTATTTTAGATAAACTTGATTTTTAAGTCATTCACTGATATTTTTACCAAAAGACAAAAAGAAAAATTCAAAGGCATAATGTAAAATTCAAAAGTTGTCAAGTTGTTTGAACCTAGAAAAAATTAGTATAGGTAACTGTAATTTGTAAGGACACAAGAGAAAAGTAGTGCAAGAAGGTTAGCATTTTGAGAATTAATAAGTTCTTGACATACATTACACAAGGCCATAATATTATAAATAATGTCTGTATAATAACAATTATACAACATGCTAAATATCTTCACCTACATTATAATTATTTAAACAGGTTTGCCTTCATGCAGCAATAAGAAAAGTGTTATGTCAGAGAAACCAATGCACTTCGATTTAAGAAATAGTTTTTTCAATGGGAAATTAATGTAGTTCTGTTCAGTAGTAGATCCATGGTTGTCAATAACAATCCAGTTACTAATATCTTGGCTTAAAACAGAATCAGCAACATGATTATAGAATTTTTGAATTTCATTCTTTTGCTCTCCTAGTTCAAGATATTTTCCTCATAAGTTCTCAGTAGATTTATCAGAATATCATAATACTTTATAAGACACCCAGAATCAATCCTACCAAAAAACTCAAAAAATTACATACCTACTTATAATATATTTCCAGTCGACTTAAGTCGTAGGGTAAGCTAACTTTTCTAACTCCTTTTCGACATTTTAACTAAGATTTACCCATCTATTCAAGAAAGACAGTTGCACCAAGCTGTTCACAAACAGTCAAAACACAAGTAATGCGCATGGGATTATGCATTAAAGCTTAACAACACATTAACAGTGTAAAGATTGCCGTTTGATATTTATTTCTAATATAGCTAAAGCATTACTTGACAAAATATACGTTATTTTACAGTAGATTTACCTCATTTAAATGTGTGTGTCTATTTCACAAAAACCTGAAGCATTATTTTCAATATTTTATGCTTACGGTATCGTGGTTGTTTTCGCTGGTTGTCACTACTATGAGCAGTAATAGAGATCCGTTTCGGGAGGGAGCGAATGTTAAAAATTTTTCTCAAAGTGGAAGTTTTGACAACCAAAATCCGCCATTACCGCCATGTTTTTGACCACGGGGTCCAGGCCCCTTTGCCCCTCCAGGTCTTATAGAGCTCAATGATTTTACCTCTATATAGGTCGAGTAGAGGAATGGGCCGAGACATGTCAAGATTAGTGTGCTGCCACGCTGATGCGTGGCAGCAATTATACTTGTTACGAATTCTGCTCAAGTACTTTGAATTACCAGAAGTTTTATAAAGCTATGTCAATACACGTAAATGTCGGCAAAGAAAATGCACCTTTAGCGAACAAATCAATAAATATTCTATCACTACTAGACGATGCGGTGCAAGCCATTTTAGCTCTGAAAATCACGCTGGATGAAAAAGCATCGTCTGTGTTTGATGAAAGGCGATCGTTTGAAACAACGAGGAAAAAGCTGGATGGTGTTCATTTTAAAAAAAACATTCGTCTAAATGTTGGTGGTCAGGTTTTTAAGACGTCAATTGAGACCTTACTAAAGGATCCAGACAGTATGTTGGCGGCCATGTTTTCAGAGAGATTTAATGTGAAGCCAGATGAAGAAGATGGAGCATATTTCATTGATCGAGACGGTACGCATTTCAGGTAAGAGTTACGAATCAATGATGAGCATATATAGAAGAGATATTGCTTTTTGGAGACTGGCTATGTGGGTGGCAATAATAAGCAGTTTCCAATTTTGACTTTATAAAATCTTAATTATGTATAGGTTATTAGAACACATGACATCTTTATTTCAAAGCACTCGTGTCTAGCAGGACTATAGTGCTTGAATTTTTTGTCTTTTATTTGTTATATCCCATACTTATAATATGGAGTTTTATAAGGCTAATGTTATTAATTTTTTAATGTATTAACTGATAAAGAAATGGCTGCACAGTTTCTACATTTTGATCATTATTTTGTGAGTATTTACCTCACTATTTCCATTTACTGGCATTCTGTTTTGCACACTAAATTAAATTTACTTGTATAATCATCTGACTGAAGTGAATTCCTTTAAACTTGATTGTGTCAGAACCAAAAAGTAAATTATGTGCCTTTTGATATGTCTCAAATTCTTTTTTATCAAGATGTGCTTGTCATAAGCAATACATTACATTTATGTAAAATAAGAATTGTTATCTGACACTATGTTTCTCATTTTCGTACATAACTGCCACGCTTTTGAAATCATATTTAGAGTAATAATATTTTTATATAACCATACTAGTTAAATACCTATGACATTGACTGGTGATATTCAGTATTAAGTAGGTCAAAGTCATATTTCTTAATAATTTCGACATGTTAAAACTTACATTTACAAACAACGGCATCATCTTTACAATAACTCTTACCGAAAAGTCTGAGATGGATACTTGGTGTGTTCCAGAATGTTATTAATTTTTTAATGGCAAGCATATGTTATATATGCACAACAACTGTTTGCAAATTTAGATTATATATTTTAAATGCTGCCATCAGATGTAATTGACCACTGCAATTACATTGAGGGCTCAATTTCAAGGATAGCTACATGTTGCCTTGAATTGGTATTTGATAGAGATTTTGGAGCAGACCAGTGCTTGTTGAAAATGTCAAAAAAGGCTAGTTAGTTATAGACTGCTTAATATATGACAGAGTTTTTATTTTAAACTATGTTTTATTAATATTCAGGATACTAAGAACAAATCACTGAAAATTTAAGAGGCATTTTAGAACTTATTAATAAATATGAATGAATTATGTAACTTGCAATCAGTGGTGCTGTCAGGATTTTATATGGGGGACCGGACCCCCCAAAACGCTACTTACTTATGTTATGCACTGTTTTACATGATTGACATTTTTAGTATACTTATGTATATAATATGTCATATTATGCCTCCCCCTTGCACGAACCCCTGCTGACAATGCTCATAAAAGGCAATCTAGGATTAATGTGAATGCATAAAAAATGTTTAAATTATATTATTGTACTATCATAATGAAAGGAAAATTCATTGGCCTGTGAGTTTATGCCTGCAGTTCAACATCTGCCAAGTTCATATTAAAATACATTTGAAAAAATAGCATTTCCTGTTGATTTAGAGAGGTCAATAGTAGGGGGGCTAAGGTTGTGGTCATCTCCCCCCCCCCTAAATTTTTCAAATAAAACCTTTTTCGCCAACTATTTCATTAAAAACGAGAAAACACAGGAACATTTCTATTTCAGAAGTTTAAATCATAAGTACAGTAATATGATTTAGCTAAAGGAAGCAACTCGGAATTTTTGATTTACCCAAGGATCAAGTACTTTGTCCAAGTTTTGTCCTTTTAAAATGACTTTGTTCATTGATAGCAACATAAAGTCACTGACCAACAAAAAGTCTAAGCTCTTTCATGCCCTGCTTTGTATGCGATTAATCGCACTGAAACTTCTTTCCACAAACCATAGTTTGTGGTTCCGTGGTTTGCATGGGATATTCTGAAGGAAAAAATATAAAAGCATGTCATTAGAATCAATTAATTTTCATTTTAATATTTTTTTAAAAGGTTATTCTATAGAGTAAATAGAAACATATTTACTTGTTCGTATTGAATTATATAAACCCTTGTTGTGAAAGTTAAAGGGAAACTCGAAATTGCTTGAAAACACTTACACCTCATATTCATGCCTGCCAGTCAAGATCTCGTTTTCCCGAAACTTTCCCGAATGTTTTTATACGTAACTGTATAAAAAAAGTTTTATAAAACTTTTTAACTACATAAAATGTTTTCCATTTCTCAATTAACAATCAAATAAGAAAATGGAAACATTCATACATGTATTAATACCCGTACCTTGTTTTCCAGCCCGCTACTGTACTTTTCTGGAATGGTTACCAGGTTCCTTCAGTGTCATAAAAATGATCGTCATTGGCCATGTGCGTCATTAAAACTTGAAATTATTTTCTTTATTTTTTGTTACTTAACCCTAACGTAGCTCAATTTTTTTCTAATATTCAAACAGATACATCCTGAACTATCTAAGGACTGGAAAGCTGATTTATCCTAAAACGAACAAGATTTTAGCAAAAGAGTTGTACCTTGAGGCTGAATTTTATCAGATTAATGGATTAAAGAGAGAAATTTGGCCTGGTGTGTCATTTTTAGGGTCAAGTTTCATCATTCACAGCTTAACTGATGAGCAGAAGTGTGCACTGTTGTCATGGCTACCTGAGTACGACGTCCTATTGGACTGGGTGCAACTTTTTAGCAACGTCAAGAATGGATGGAGCTCTTCAGAGTTTCATCGGACTTGTGACAATAAAGGACCCACTGTTGTCTTAGCCAAAGCTGGTGACTACATATTTGGTGCATACGCTTCAAGTTCTTGGGTTTCAGGTACGTAAACAGTTCACTTTAGTTAAGATTGCGTATGCAAAAGTAACGTTGTTTACGCCATCGATTACATTTTTTGTTACATGTGTATATTAAATAATCAAATTGTTTTGTTAAATACTAATTTTCAAAGTTTATTTTTCTTACTGTTTCAATGATAAAGAGTGTGTCACTTGAGACTGAAGAAATTAAGCTGTTTCCTCGCAAGTAGTTCGACTGTGAGACAATACGTTATTTCCCGGTAGATAATAAAATATGGCGTTCGTTATCACGAGACCATGCGATCTTTGTCCAACTTTGTTAAGTATTTATTTTTACTGATATATTTGTGGAAGAAAAAAGTAAAAACACCTACAATTGTATCCCGACAAGCCTGTTTCGTGATTGCTCACTCGATACAATTGTAGTTGTTTTTACTTTTTTCTTCCACAAATATATTTAGCTCCACTCATATGTATTGTAGCACTCTCTAACGGATAAATCACAATTGGATAGCTTCCTATTTTTACTATTATATATATATATATTCTTGTAGAAAAGTAAAAATTGCGTTTTTTACTAAATCTGGTATGTAGCAAAACACAATTTGCCTGAAATCTTGTGGGTCCCCGTTTTATCACTTGGTCTCAGTCAATAAGTGATAATTATTATGTACAAATTTTCAAAGTTCATTTAAAGTAGGTAGCTTTGTAGTAAGATAATCATTGATTTCTACTGACTCAAAAAAGGGGAAAATTACTTGAGTCAAAAAAGGGGAAAGACGAAGAGGAAATTTTGGACGAAAAACTTCCACTTCCTGTTATCATTCACTCCACTTATTCACTTCATTTATCGTTCACTCCCTCCTAATTTACAATCAGTGAGACCAACTGCGATACCTATATCATGAATATATATGCTTCAGCGTTTTATGGGATACACACATTAATATGATTGAATACTAATTTAAATTAAAATCAACACTCAGTGGACCGTAAATTTCTTCAAGTTAAAGTTTGTATAAACACTCACAGGCTACTTAACTATTTGCAAACAGCTTAATGCAACAATTTTTCTCGAAAAGTCGACAAGATATAAGAAAATGTCGGCATAGGTCTACAACAGCAGCATGCTAGCAAAGACAACTTATTGAACTTGTTAAGATACTAAAGCAGAGTTCAAAATACTATATATTATGCTACGTAAAATGCCATTGTTGGTTGGTAATTTTAAAACAATTTTAGCCAAGTTATTACAAAAGGATTGTAAACTTTTCAGCACAATACTGGACAAACTGCTGACCAGAAGTACATTATTTTTTATGCAAGCCACAACGTCGAAACAAATGTAATGTGTTGCTTGACATATCATTGTTTGTTGCATTATGAAACTAAAATTACTAGCTCGAATAGCAGAGTGTCAGTCTATTAAAAATGAGATATTTAACAAGGACTATAAATATGATAGTGCATTACATGTATTATTCTGACATTGTGTTTTATTTTAAGAATCAAATTTGGACGAAATAATTTGTTCAAAGGGATTAAAAGTGAACAAAGAGACTGGGCCACATATTTGCTTGCGCAGTTGTATGTAGAATTGCATCCTGTCTTGAAATATTGTAAATAATATTTTTGAGAGGTTGAGGATATTTATTCTTGCTTCTCGATCAAGAATAGATAAAATACGTATGTGCGAGTACGTACATTAGCATTTTCAGGTTAAAGAGAAGTTTTTGGGATAGTGTGAGAGCACTGAGTGAGATGCACTGCTCTTTAACCAGCAAACGATACGTATGTCTATTCTTGATGAAGAATCAAGAATATATCCTAAGCCTCCTTCAAATAATAACATTGTCAAACGTTTCGACGCAATAAAATTTTTCTCGAGGCAGACACGGTGCGAGATGAAGATTCACTTTTACTCTTCCACTTAAAAATGTTTATGTTTAAGGATTAATTTCAATTATATATTAATTTATTTATTTCCACTTCATCACTATCAGACACATAGAAGTTCTTCATTCATTTTGCTTCCTCTGTTTTTAACTACATTGCAACCTATACATCATGGCTTGTTGAAAGATAAGACAATGCTAAGTTAAAATTTTGATCAAAGTTGATGTTTTTTGCTAGATATCAAAACTAACGTAGAAGACGTTCAACCAATATTCTTCATTTAGAGAAACACCAGCAGCATTTATATAACTAGTAGCATGCATTGCAAGCCTTTACACTCCCATTACCTTTATTGTTTGAAGTCTGAAAATTTCTTCGAAACAAGTTGAATCATAACTTAGCTGTTTAAAACATCAACAAAACATGTTCCATCACACATCAACATATCAAGTTTTGTAAAACAATCTGAACACTTTAAATGATAAACAATGTTATCTTTCTGACCGTGTCATGAAATTTTTTCTTTTCTTACACGATTTCGGCATCTGTTTAGCACACAACTTTGCAGCATTTTTTTATGAAGTTTTAAAAAAGAATATGATTTTGAAATCATAGTTTGGATATTTTCTAAAATTTCAGTTAAGTGCTGGTCAGAAAGCGGAGGGAGTGAAGTGTTCTCACAATATGAGAATGTGCAACTCCGCATAGTGTTATTTGTGACTAGTGATTTGGTTGTGAAGACATTTCCCATCTACCTAGGTAATTAGTTTACAGGTTTGTGGACTCGATCCAAAAAAGCAAGGGAGTTTCTCCAAAGTATTTCTCACATTATTTTTTTTAAATATTCTGTAATAATGTATATCAAAACACTTATACTGACTAATCTTGGCAAACAGTATGTTTTGTTGATCTTCGACCGACATTGTCTCAACCGGGGTCACTGGCGGTTTCTCTCGGTCTCAGAAACAAATTTCTGTTAGCTAAAAACATTAATGTTAGCTAAAAACATTTCTTGCTTACGCAATTTTGTCAAAACAGGAGTTCTCAAAATTTGTAGCTAGAAAAATACATGTTGAGGTAGAGGATATCTCATGGCTCAGTTGACGTTTGCCAACAAAATTTATCAATAGGCTTAGTTTTCTTTGTTTAGTAACAGATACATTGATATTTATTAGGTTTTCAAATCATTGGCGGTAACTAATTTTTTTAGGTACACTAGAAACACGTTGTTTTCTTCTTGTTTTTTTCAAAAGTAGTTGTTCAAATATTTATGTCATAAGTTACGTCACAACTCGTACCGTTCCAAACATTTAACAATATTTAGTGCAAGAATATTGCTCCAACTTCCAGCGTTCATAAAATCACTTCTGCGCATCAAATATAAATTATAACAGAAGAAATCAAATTCTGAAACATAACTACATTTTTGATTTAGTGGTAAATATTAAAAAGAATAGCTGAAATACTTAAGCAATTGAACGATTATATTAACAAATACAGTCAAAAGCTGCTGCCATAATGGCAAACATATACTTTGAAGAAAAGATCCATGTTGAACTCAACGTTTGATCATGGAAAGTACCCTAAAGTTTAAAGACAATTTAAAAAAAGTTAGCGGTGCAACGTGTCAAAAACAATGCGTGAGCATAATAGTATAAGCCCTGAATAATCGAGCTCGAGGTCTTTGTGGAGAAATATTGGAACGAGGTCTTTCTACTTAAATGGAAAGTGGTATGTGAGCGTCAATGTAATAAGGATTATAATATAGTTAAAATTATCATAAAATAAAAAGTTAATACACACTCCTGTTAAAACGCTACGTATTTTTCACCAAGCTGCGAAAAAACTTATAACATTTTACATTTTTTGTACAGCAAACAATTAATTACAATACACCACGTTGTAGTTTACAGTATTTTTTCGTACATGCAGTTTTTTGTATTTTTTTTGTTTTTGTGTGTGCTTTAGTAAGCCCTTAATAACCGAGCTCGAGGTCTTAAAGGAGAAATATCGGACTGAGGTCTTTTTGTAAAGACCGAGCGCATAGGGCGAAGTTTGTACAAAAGGACCTCAGTCCGATATTTCTCAGTAAAGACCGAGAAAGCGAGGTTATTAAAAGGTTTATTATACGGCATTATTTGACCTGAAACGAAGCTTGATTTCTTTCTCGGGTTTACATTCAATTTTCTAGTTTTTGTCAGCAAAAAAGAAATCTTTTCAAATTGTTTTGTCTGGATAGTTACACTGTTTTTCGAGTGTTTTTCTTCCGACTCACATTTGCAAATGGTTTACTGTTTCATTTTTTTTGCGTTTTGCTGTCTGCTTTACGAAGTTTGTTTACATTTGACTATAAAATACGTGTTTGGACTCTAGTCCATTACGGAAAATAACGGACTGGCAAAATGTCTCTAAGCGAACCAAAGCGTGCCATTTTGCCGGAAGTGATGCTTGCCATATAATAAAGCACATTTAATGCACAAAACATGAAATCTTGTTTTTGATTATTTTGTTTGATTCATTTTACCCATTATGTTTTTGTTTGTCATTATGTATAGTTTGTAACAACGCCTTTGTCAAAGATGAAAGTTCGTTTCTTTTTAATCTTTCAAATCCAAATGGCGCACCTCCGACCAAACTCTCTAATGCGAACAATGACTGGGGAATGTGGATGTATAGCTCATGTGGACCATTATTTGGAAGTCATTCAAGTTGTAGTATTTTATTTATGAATAGCAGTAACTCCTCAATTTGTTGTGTGACTAACGGAATTGGCGAATTTAATATTCCTAGTGGTCAAACATTGTCTGCAGTTTTGGCTGGTGCTACCTCCACTATAAGCATGAACAATTTAGAAGTTTTTGGTTTGTCCAATATATGAAACAATGTTATATACCAGCTATGCTAGGAATTATTTTTGTTATGCTACAGCTACAGACATAATTTAATTCTCCTTGCCATTGCTCAATACAAAAATACAACTATAGTAATGATTTCATGCAATGATATATTTGTTCTGAACTAATCTTTTTACGTAAAGTATTCTGAACTCTTTTTAAGATTAAAGTTGATGTATAAGCCAGTTCCATGCGATAACAATTATTTTTGGTTAAAAATTAAATGAAAATAATTGTATGAAACATTCATACAATTATTATTGGTGTAAGTCTGTTTTTAGCATTGAACTAAATATATAACTGGAAGGCTGCCTTTCTTTAAACACGCATTTTCTTGCATAACGCCAAATTTTATCACCATGCCCGTTTGTCTTGTTGGTCAAATCCCGCAATCAACCTGATCATGGTGAGAGAACTTCTTTGGGATGTGCGAAGAAATCGTGCTTCAAGTTTTAGTGATGGGAGGTAGCCTTTCAGTTATATTCATTTCACAGGTTTACCATGCCTGGACGAACCATATGGCTGAAGATTCGTCAGCCACGGGCCCTCGCCTTCAGGGTTCCCGCGCTTCACTGAGCTTAAATTTTTGCTTTATAGCTATTCACGTTAACATCAAAACATGATTGAGCAAATGCAAATGGCCAACATTTTGGTGCTTATGTTGGACCCCGAAGCGCGTGGCTCCCATAAATCCCTTGCAATTGCAGGGATCTTACAGGTGCATGGCCCCTACAAGCCACTACAGGAGCAAAGCTCAAACAAGTGCTCGCTATTATATTTATTGCCAATTTGTGGTGGGTGAATCACGTTTACCTTACTTATCGATTCCTTCGTCATTATTAACAAATTTAAAATCAATCCATTACTCCGTCGTTCCACAAATTATGTCGAGCTCCGTTTTCTGGGCGTATAAAGAAGAAACTCACAATTTGAGAAACAAATGGCTATGCACGTAGAGCGCATACCGAATTATAAGTTATTAAATTTTTACAAATTTAAGAAGTTTGAAGTTAACGTAAGAACGCTTGAATAATTTTTTTCACAGAAAACGTGGGGGATAAAACCCCAACATGATTAGTGGACTGACGGAACATATATTTGAACTGCACACCGACAATCATTTGTGCAAATTTAATCAAACGTGGTTAATGTTTAAGTATCAAAAATTTGTTATAAAATCAAAACTTATTATCAACAGCCGTGCCCCTGCTTTGTCTACTAAAACTCCAATTGACAAAATAGACGTCACCTGCTTGGTCTGTGGGTCTGCGTGGCTTCTATCGTTATATTATATTTTGATAACTACCGTTTAACGCGATGCTAATATATACTCCTCAGAACCTTGCAGCAACCGTCAAAACAACCTGAAAAATGTATGGATTATAGAGGTATAGTTAAGCTCAGAGTATGGATATATTTTTAAAAGCATCAGATCTCCAACGGCCACGCATTGTTCGTACTAGTGCGTCTGAAAAACCGGATTCGGCTGCTAGAGTAGCCGCTCCAATGGAAGAACTGTGACCTTTAGATATACGAGCGTCAAGCTCACAATCTTTGAGTGCTTTTGCTAAGTCTTCGTTACATTGGGTGGCCATCCATTGTACAAACCAATGAACAGCTTGGTGAGAGTATTTATGGCATTACTGTTGGGCATGAATGTGTGCCATGCAGCGCTTCTTTCTTGAATGATGTAACCTGCAAACGGGAAAAACAATCAGCTAAGAAATTTTTTATCCCAGGAACATGCCTGGCCTAAAATAAAATATTATGTTGCAAGCAACAGTCGACACACAAAAATCATTATCCTTTTTTCCCAAGAAGTTTGTCTTTTTATGACTTCCAACAACGCCGCATTGTTCGTGAAGAAGATGATGCGCTGATTTTCCATGACGTTACCCCACAGAAAAACTTTGAGGAAAGTAGGATAAAGTTCCAACATAGTAATGTTGAGGTTTTCCATCGCTCAGGCCACTCACCCAAATGCTAAACTACCTGCTTGCCCCAAATCCTAAACTATCTGCTGCATCCGTATGTAAGTTTAAGACATCGGAGTCCTGCCACTTATCATGACGAAAAACGTCCTGCTTTTAAAATCGTCTAGAAAGTTTTTCCAAACGTGCAAGACTTCCTTAGCCTAAGCTGTTAGACGAATAAAATGCGTAGCTGAACGAACACCCTTCGTGAAGTCAATGAGGCGACAAATAAAAGCTTGACTGTACTTTCAGTCTCGTAACTGTACTTTCTTCTACTGTTGAAACAATGAAACTAGGGAGTGGCATTTCGTTAATTAATCTTTGGGCACTCAACCTTCCATCCGTAATGTGTCTAATTTGATACCCGCAGAAGTAAGAACATTGTGTTTGCCAGCCGTTTTATCATGCGCATTTGGCACACTCAAGAAGTCACACAACTGCACAATTTTCTCCAGGCTAATGCGGCATTGGCTGAATGTACGTGCTGTAAACAAAAAATAATCCAATATATAGATAAAATGTGGTATTTCAAAAGAAATTCAAATGTAGTTCATGTGTCAATAAATGTTGTAAATGTGAATTACATTTCAGAAAATAATCCCACATGCTAACCATGGGAGACCTTAAGATGGTGCATTAGAGAATTCGGAAACACCACACACTTTTCACTCGCTACTCGCTTATGTAAAAAAAAAGGAAAAAAATCTTTAAAAGGTCTTTTACTAACCAAAATTTATAAAATCTTCTGATATAGCATATAAATTTTTGTCATGGCAGTTAAAAATCGTAAGAATTAATCAAATTGTGATGTCTTTAATATACAAAAATTAAAAATTGACAAGCTAATTAGTTAATGTTAATTTCATTTTCCCGTGATTTTTTTTAAAATTCGTTAAATAAATTCCCAATATTAGCACGTGCTGGTAGCGATGGGATTTGAACCCATGCCACTTACATGACTGGTGCTTAAAACCAGCGCCTTAGACCACTCGGCCACGCTACTCATATGACAGTCGGCAATAACTTGTGAAAAAAACTAAACATCTAAGTGCATTTTAAAAACAATCAATCCACTTACTAATGTTGTAAAATAATCTTTTTTATATGATAAACGACACTCCCGGCGAAATAACTGACTTTTTTTACCTCAAAAGTATTTCTGCCTGTCCATTTTTGTTTTGTTATGGACTACGGTTAAAAGAAGCGTAAAACTATCTTCAAATGTTAACATACTTGTAAAGCAAACATCAAAATGAAAAACAAAAACATGTATGAATATGAGTCGAAGGGAGTATAATAGGAAAATAGTTTAATATCCAGAGGATACAATTTGAAACAATTTGTTTTTAAGTGAAAAAAAAACAGAAAAGGGATAGCCATCAAATAAAAAACATAAAGGACAAGAAGGCAATAATCTTTGTTTCTCACCCTACGTGCTTGTTGCTTGCACAAATTATTTCCGTCTGATATTTCTCCGTTAAGATCTCGAGCTCGGTTATCAAGGAAATAGTAACGGATTAACTTATTTTTGTAAAGGCTCATAACATTTTTGATCGTTCATCAAAATGTACAAGACACGCTTCCAATATATAATATGTTTTAAAAAGGGCAAAAAATTACTAATTAATGTTAATTTAAAAATGTTGCCTTGAAAAACGTTTAATTTGAATTTCTGAATTACTTTTAATTAAAAAACTGTAATCCAAAAATTAGAGCATTAATTGTGAAATAAACAATAAAAAATTTGACAATCTATTTTTTTGATCGAAATTTAAAAAAGGTTCACAGATTATATGTACTTGGTAGATCAAAAAAAAGTTAATAGTCTGTTTTTCCAAGAGTCAATTTTTTAAAAAAACTAAACTTTTTTAAATCAATATCCGATCTTTTTCCAACACTTATATCAATACATTAGTAAGCCCCTGACTTTCTTTGTTATAATTTTTTTTGGACAAAAAGATCTCTGAACTATACCAATGTTCAAGTCGTTTGCTGCATTTGAGTTTTCTTTGCTCATTGTTATGTTAATCAAGCTTATTCTTGTTTTTAAAAAAACATTTTTGGGATATTTTTGGGAAGCTGATTAAAAAACATAAGATCTAAAATAGAGGACTGGCAGTGATGGGATTTGAACCCATGCCATTTTCATGACTGGTGCCTAAAACCAGCGCCTTAGACCACTCGGCCACACTACCTTACTGTCAACTTCGATTTATTTGTGAAAACAATTACCTAATTGTTTAATTTAGAATTGGGAATGAAAAAATTTTTGAGCAATTCATGCTTTTTTATTCCTAGCCACTGCGCATGCGCGGGTAATAACTATGTTTCTAATATATAATATGTTTTAAAAACAAGAAAAAAATAGTAATCAATGTTAATTTAAATATGTTGCGTTTAAATACGTTTAATTCGAATTTTAGCTACTTTTATTTAAAAAAATTTAACCCCAAAATCGGAGCATTAATTGTGAAATAAACGATAAAAAATTTGACAAACTATTTTTTAATCGCCAATTGAAAAAAGTTTACAGGTCATATGTACTTTGTAAAACGAAAAAAAATTAACAGTCCGTTTTTCCAACAATCATCTTTTTAAAAAAATTTAACGTTTTTAAATAGAAATCCGATCATTTTCCAAGACTTATATCAATACATTTTAAGCACCTGACTTTCTTTGTTATAATATCTTTGGGCAAAGTACCTTTGAACTATGCCAATGTTAAACACGTTTGCTCCAGCTGTGTTTTCTTTGATCATTGTTAATGTTAATCAACCCTATTCTTGTTTTTTCTAATACATGGGTATTTCTCCCTGACCCCACGCCCCTCAAAAAAAGTCAAGGTAAGTTTCTCACGTTAGATAGTAAACAAAACTGCATCATGATAACAAGTTGGTATAATTCATATAATAGTTTGGAGCTTTATTTGTCTTATGAGCAGATGAGCATATGCTCATTGATGCTCATATTTACTCATGAGCACTTGCTCAAATGCTCATAATTGCTCGGAAATGCTCAAAATTGGTTGCAGCTGCTCATAACTGCTTTAACACACTTGCTCATATGCTCATAAGTACACATTGTTACATAAAAGTCACATTTCTAAAAAGGCATTGCCGGCGGAATGAGCTGCAGATATCGTGGAAAGTATTCAATAGAGCTTTCAACTCACGTCGACTCGAGAAAGAGTAGTCTCCACAAAGCGATTAGGG